GGGAGGGGAGATTATGGTGGAAGAGGGGGCTATGGCGGGAGAGGGGGCTATGGTGGGGGAGGTGGAGGAGGTGGTGGGTACAGAAGATACTAAGACTGCAGCTGTTAGAGCCCTGCTTCCTACTAGATACTATGTAGAGATAGTGTTCTGAGGAACGTACTTGAACGTCCCCTGAGGTAGAGCATGGTGGTGTCTCTGAGGATGGCGTTCGTGAATGTAGAAGGCCATTTTACACCACCAGGTGAGCCTGCAGCACGATGCTTTCCATGTTTTCTGTACTAAGCATGCTGTGTCTTTTTAAAGAGAAAAAACCCACAAACTATTTTTAAAAATTAAATATTTATTACCAGCAACTTGGAAAATGGAATGTATTTTATTGTCATGATTGATTTTAGACTGTAAACTGGTATTTTGTTCAGGATTGAAACACAAATGGCCCCACCTGTAACAGAAAGGAACCCAGACTCTTGTCTTGTTTGTATTCCTGTGGATCTGTCCTATATTGTTAATTCTATTTTACAAAACAGAGAAAGTGTCTAATGTTTGTGCTCAGTAGGCAGTTGTCATTTTTTTTAATAGAATGAAATTCCTCTGGTTAGGTTTTTATTAAATTTCTGTTAACTGAAGCCAAAGTCTTCTTTATTTCACTATTTATATGTGACTTATTTTCCAGCTGGATATGAAACCTGTGTGGTTGGCAGAATAGCTAATTTAAAGATTGTGAGAACCAAAGATGACGGGTAACTACAATGAAACAGTGTTTTCTGGACATGGGTCAGTTACACATCTGAATTCGTAGAGTTATCTATGCAAGATGAAGCCAGACAAATCCCAGCATGGACAGAGAGGTGGTCGTGAAGCCGTACCCCTAGCTGAGGAGCTGTTGGCAATTGATTGCTGCTGGAGGAGGGCGAGCCAGTCTCCTCCAGGGATGTGGGCAGGAGAGCTGTCGGTGCTCTGGTAGATGTACTAAACCTGCCCATGGGGGCAGCACTAAGTGGACTCAGTTAAAGAACAGTGACACAGATAGAAGCACATGAAGTTGAGGAGAAAAAGCATGTGGAATGGGGGGTAGGAGAGGGATTGTAGGGGGTGTGTGGATTTAATCAAAACACACCAAATGCATGTGTGAAATTCTCAAAGAAAAAATAATATCAAAACTACTTTAAAGGAACAAAGATACATACTGATTTTACTTGATGCTATGAAAAATAATGTGTTCCTAATAAGTACCCTTGCTTTAGATATTAAGTTCTGAGAGGCAGGCTGTGTCAGAGGGAAACACCAACTTCGGGGTGGCTGCATGTGATTTGATAGCTGGAGCAGTCAAAGGCTTGGCTCCCAGGAGCTGTGAATCCACATTCTCTGAGTCAGCTCACCCACTCCCCTGTCAACGGGGTCAGCTCTATTGTGCTGCCCAGGAGAGGAGCAGGGCCTGCTGTCCTAAGTGCTGCAGGGGTGAAGGACTGGGACAGGTCCCCTGTTTGCCACAGGTGTCACAGAGCAAGGAGGGGGCGACTTTCTCTCGCCCTCACCACCACATGGCCAGTTCTTCCACACATACCCTTGGGGTTGGCTCACACAATGCCCCCATCAGCAGGGCCAGCTCTACTGTGCTGCCCTGGGGTGCAGGCCCTGTTCTCCCGGGTGCTGCAACCATTGACAGTTGATGGGCAGGGGCAGCTTTTCCACTTTAATGACCTCAGGGCCAGCTCCCCACCTGCCGCAGGTGGCAAGGGGGAGGGGAGGACATCTCTTGCTCATGCCACTGTGTGGCAGATGAGGGGGCAGACCAGATCTCTCATGTTTACATTCTTGGGGCCAGCTCACCTGCACCCCTATCAATAGGGTCAGCTCTGAGGTGCTGCCCAGGTGAGGTTCAGGGCCTGCTCTCCCATTCGCTGCTGCTGGTGAGGGGCTGGGTCAGGTTCCCTGCTTGTCACAGGTTTCAAGGCATCTTTCCCTCACCTATGCCACCATATGGCAGGCAAGGGGGGTAGGGCCAGCTCTCCTACTCTCACATCCTCGGGGTGGTCTTGTCCCTGCCCCCTCATCAGAGTCAGCTCTATTGTGCTGCCCAGGCGAGGCGCAGGACCCTCTTTCCACAGTGCTGCACCTGGCGATGGGCAGGGCCAATTCTCCCTAGTGTTACAGCCTGTGGGGCTGGGCCAATTCTGTGTAGCCCTGTTCTCTCGGCCTGCAGTGGTCACAGGAGCCATGGACGTCAACACAGACTGTGATTGCCGCAGGACCACAAACCCAGGCCTGGGCATCACCAATGCCCTGGATGGGGCAAGCAAACCACCCACCTTAGCCCGCTCCTCATTGCCTTCACCTCTTCAGATCTGCCTCTGTCCGCAGGACATGAACCACTCTGTCTCTTTCTCTCTCCCGTACCCCGCCAAATATTTGTTGACCATAATTGAGCCTGCCCTGGACAGGCATGTAGGTCTCCTGCTCAGTTGTCATGGCTAGTAGGGTTTTCTCTCCAGTTAAACTTGACTTTGTGTTGTACAGATCCACCCAGAGCTGTGTCTCCTAGGGCTTCTAATCCAGTGTGGTGGACAGTGGAAGTGTTCCAGCATGGCTGCTCATGCTTGTAAACTCTCAGTGTAGGCTCCAGGCCACAGCTGTCGATAGCAACCAACTTATTATCTGGGGACAACACACAGCTGGCTTTTGATTGGCAAGTATGTACTATTTTATCATATAGTAAGCTCCGCGATAAAATTTAAAATAATCTTCAACGTGCAAAAGTTAATACTGTGTGTGCCGCAGTCATGGACATGTGCTTTCCAGGCAACCTTTTGAAGAATGGGGGACAGAAAAACTGTGTTGTCACTTGGAAACTTAGGAGTTTTTGTGTCTGTGGTTAATGTTTTTTTTTTTCCCATTTGTGGCAATTGAAGCAAAAGTCTTTCCATAACTAAGAAAATACATATGTCAGTATCTGAATTCTGAAAAGCAAAACATTATAAAATATATATGAATAAGATAGTGTGGAATAGACAAAGTTGAACATTTTCTCATTCCTTTTATTATGAGCATGAGTTGCTGACAGTAAGGGGCGATTCACAACTAATATTTACTTATTTGGGAAAGGCTCTTGCTATGCAGCCTAGGCTGTTCTTAAACTTAACTCTCAAGCTTGGCATCCTCCTGCCTCAGCCTCCTGAGTGCTGGGATTACAGGCCTGTATCACCATATCTGTTCTTTACTTTTAACCCTAAAGATTTATGTAAATATGACAGACACTAGTTTATTTCTATTATGCCTTTTCATTCTCTCTGTGAGTGCTGTTGGGGTTGTTCCGGCAACCATCGGCAGTCTTTCTTCAATCAGGTACTTCTGAAATCACAGGGGAGTGGAGCCAGCTCTGTGTACCCAGCCTGTGAGCTTTGCACAAGGAGAAGCTCTGTCTGCAGCCTAATAACTTAGGCAGAGTTATTATGAGGGTCTTTGTAGACTGTTTGCTATTCGACCCCTGTGCTGGCAAGTAGGGTGACTTGGGGTGTGTACAGCGGAAGGTCATCACATGAGATAGTCATAAATGAATTGACTTCGTGGGGACTGATGACGGATGGCATTTCGCTGCTCCCTAAAACCTGACGCCTTTCTGGATACTTGCTCTTTGTTTCTGGTTTTTTTTTTTTTTAATTTCATGTTTTTTCTACTTTTACACTTTTTTGCCTCTTTTTTTTTCCCCCTATGTCTTTGCCCAGCTGTGGCACTTATGAGCACCTTTGGACATGATCTTACTAGAAACTTCTGAATTAAATTCGTAACTGGGCTTTCCTCTGGGCTGAGAACATCAGTGCTGCCCGACCCCATGAACTGTTGTCAAAGGGAAGCCGCTGTTTCGCTGTTTCCTTGTACTCTGTAGATTTAGAAAAACTTGTCTCATTAAAAAGAAAATTCATAACATCTAATTCAGAAACATTAACCAGTACTTGTGGCCAACAGCGTACATAATGTCAAAGGGCTTTATAGCCAGAAAATGTCCTGAGCGGTGTTTGGTCCATTTACTACATGAGGAAGACAGAGCTTGCAGTGAGATCTGCAGATTGAGGATGAGGGTGGATAAGAAGAATTTTCACTTTTCCTTCAGGGTCAGCTTTTCAAAGTGATTTCATTATTTCATATGAAATATTAAGTCCCCCTCCCCCAGAAATCTTTTTAGTAGAATGGAGTGGTTTTGCTCTGAATTACAGTAAAACTTCAAACGAAATGCACAAAGTTAAGAAACCAAGAGCTTTGAGTTACAGGGATCCAAATATCTTTTATCATATAAATATTAGACACAGAAAACGTACAATAGGTATCAAAAATTTTACAGTCTGTACATTGTTTTCTTGCGGCTTTTACATTATACATCTTTAGACAGAATTGTGATCAGTAAGGAGGTGAGTCAGTCAACAGAGAAGATGAGAAGTGTCGTCACTATTACTGACAGGATTGGTCCTTGTTTTGGCAGACACGTACGTGTCTGCCCGAACATTTCAAGCAGTATGGTAAACAAAACTTTGTGTGATAAGCTGAACTTTGTTCCCAGTTGTATCAGGATATCCCACCCGCTCCTACAGTTCTGTAGGAGCAGTACCAATGCAGACTCCCGTCCTACAGCTCTGCAGGAGCAGTACCAATGCAGACTCCAGTCCTACAGCTCTGCAGGAGCAGTGCCCATGCAGACTCCAGTCCTACAGTTCTGCAGGAGCAGTACCAATGCAGACTCCAAGCATCTTTTATCTGTGCTGGACTGTAAGAATCTGTGATGGACGTACTGCCTCCTCCTGTCTTTTCTGTCAGTTCATGCTAGGACCACCTAGCCATGATTGAGGCCCTCTGAATTCCTATGTTACAGGTTATTTACATTAAAAACTCCCTGGGAGATCTTTTGGAGGATAAGGAATAAGAAAAATAGAGTGTCTAAAAAAATTGGGCTATGCACTTGTGCATAGCAGAGGAAAGTTTTCATAGTGAACAATATAAATGTTGAGATCTGTCATTACTCATAATTGTTCCAAATAATTGTTCCATATTACACCTGCTAGCGGTGTATGTATGAGGTGGTCGCTATGCTTTGTGAATTTCCAAGTTTCTATATAGAATGAGGATGAAATTGTGCGTAAAGTGGTTCTAGTGAAACTTTAACCACAAGCCAGGTCTTTGTCACTAAACTCCACAAAGAGGTACACAAATGGGCATTGGTCTTTCACCAAACAAACGTAAGTGATCCGAGTACTTTAGGGGGCAGCACCACATACGGTTCGCATTCCTCTGGAGACATGGTTGGCTGTAGGTTTGGAACTTATTTTGTTAGATGGTAGTCTTGGAAGCTGTTCGTCCTGTGTATGGATTACAAGTTAGCATGGTGCCAGACCTTCTAAGCATGGAAGCAAAGTCTCCCCCAAAGGACACACTCAGATGAAATGCTTTTGAAAGATGAAAAGAAGCTGACAGGAGACTCTGTGAATAGCTTCCCAGGCAACAAGTCAAAACTGCTGACTTTTACCCTTTCGTGATAGAATACACAGAGACTGGTACTCGTGGTTTTGCAGAAGAATACAATTCACATTGTTAGCAGTTTGTGTTATAACGAAGAGAACTATCTGTGTGAATTTGTGTCATTTCCTAAAAGGTGTCTGATTCACATCTGCATTCTCTAAAGGAAAGTCCAAGCTACACGCATGCCTGATAGTGTATCTACATATTCTATACATATGTACATGCCGTCAGCCATTAGAGCGTCATGTCCATTAGCTTATTTCTAGATAGTAGAAGTAAGACAGGTTAAGCATGAATTCAGTTAAAAAGAAAACCTTAAGATAGTTTACTTAAAGAGAGAGAGAGAGAGAGAGAGAGAGAGAAATTCGACCATGAAGAATTAAACACTGTCCAGACCATTCCTTTTAAAAAGTCACGGATTCTTAGTTGTACCCACTAGAGAATATCTGAACAAACATTTTTATGTCGTTTGTGTTAGCTAATTAGCTGTGTATGAAATAGTGATTGCTGTTTGTAGATAGTGAGTTTTAGTTTGTATTTCATGATGCCTAAGACCTAGAGCTATGAGTTGGCCTGCAATTGGGTAATGTCAAGTTCAATTAAAAAGTCCTGGATTTAAAATCGGGCTCCATCTCTAGCAGTTCCCTTCTAGGTAGGTAGACTGATGTGCCTACAAACAAGGGAGGGGGTGGTGAGGAAGGACAGGGAAGGGAGGAGGCGCTCGGTCAGATCTGAGGTAGTGAAGTAGGGAATCAGTCTCACAAACCATGCAAGCATGTCCAAGTCACCACTTTTAGGGTATTTCCATGAAGTGCAGGCTTTTGGGTTAAAGTAAAATTTTCAGTTTGCAGAAACCTTGGGGAAGGCAACAAGTTGATCCTCCAGGGACTTTTTATCTACGGATCAGTAAAGCAGACTGCCCGAGACACTGTCAGGAAACGATGGTCTTTTTTTAGCACACGTTTGGTGTTGGTTCCAGTAAAGAAAGAACGAGATTTGAATATGAGCGCTCAAAGCTTAACACACTTGAGCTTTTCTTCCCATTGAGTCAGCTGACTGAAAACCAGTGACTCACATTAAGAGTATGTCAGGTAGAAAAACAATGACACTGGCAACAGTGGCTGGCTTGCCCCTTTTCAAGACTGTTAATCTGAAGTTGCCCGAACCTCTGCCTCTGCGATGTTTTTGAAGTGAGATCCCAGGATACTCGTCCACAGATTCTGTTTCTTGATTTCTGGATTAGGAGCCATTACCCCGGTCCAACTGTGCTAAGACATGATTGCTTTTTGCAAGTTGAAGGGACTCTATCTTCTTCTGTGCGTACTTGAGTTGGATCTTCAGGGCATCATTATCAGCTTTCAGGGTATTTATCTCCTAAAGAGAAATGAGAATAAGGCACGTCACTAGAGAGGCGGCGAGTGGGAAATCACTTACAGTAGCACGAGTATTATATTTGATTGGCATTTCCTATTCACCGTGGTTAAGAATTAGAAACTATTTTCAAAGTGGTTATTTAGCTGTGAGTATAAAATAGCACACTAGCTATCACGGACATGTGCAAATAGCAATTACTCTTTGTTATCACATCACAGATGTGAGTGGCTAGCAGACAGAATAATCCATTCTTGGGAAGTGGGTGGAGGAAGACACAACCCCCGGATAGTGTGTAGCAGGCATCGTCACTTGGCAGACAGTAGTCTGTGGTCCGGTCTGCTCTCAGCTATGCAAAGCAGTGCTTCAAAACTCCGCGAAATGAGATGTTGTTGTTAATTTAACCTAAGTTCGCAACTCCCATTGCTGATAACTAATTCGCCTTTTTGATGGAAGACTTTTGTCTCACCCCCACACTGGGATTTAGTGTTTTGTTGGTATTAATTTAACTGTAGAGCCATGGGTTCATCACCAGGCTTCTGGTTTTGAGGCAAGTGTTCTTATGTCAGACTGACTTGCATGGACATCAGAAAGTACAGGTACACTGTCTGGTTAACTGGGCCGCCTCTGGGTTCTCAGACAGAATCCCCCAGAGTGCTGTTGACCAGCTTCTGTGAGACTGAGCACTTGCTGTGAGCCCGACACCGCTGTGGGAAAACAGGGAAGCTTAATCCTCATGCACACCCTGGAAAGAGGTGCTAGCTGTAGACTCCATAGGGGGCAGAAAGTGCTCACACATACTCCTAGAGCCCAGGCGTATCTGACTCAAATGTCTTCGATTCCTTTTTTTATTTGGTCCCATGCTGATTTCAGTTATGGCATGAACCAAAATAACATTCATTACTTTAATGTGTATTGAAATATACAGCTGTAATCAGCTGTCCTTATTGCATGCTCTTTTAAATCCTAGTTTAGCTGGATGCCTTCCTTGTGTTGAGGATTATTGGCCTAAAGACCAGTCGTGGCAGGTCCCTAACGGGACAGCAGAGCACATGATTGTGCCTCTGAAACGCTTGTGGGGAACTCTGGTCCTCAGGTCCCTGTGATGCAGGTAAAAGAAAAGAGAAGCAGCTGATACATCATCAGTGTTTGTGACCCTGGTGACTGTCACCTGTGCCTCATGGCATATCCACAGCTGTAATTCTGCCTGTAAGAAGCATGTAAGATTTGAAACCTCAGCATGGACTCCCAGCCCTGCATTTTACAGAAAGACCAACCAGGTTGCAGTGTTTAATATTTGGCATAAGGAATGTCTGGGATTAGATCCCCATACTTGGGAGGCAGAAGCAGGCAGATCTCTGAGTTTGAGGCCAACCTGGTCTACACAGTGAGTTCCAGGACAGCCAGGGCTACACAGGGAAACTCTTGTCTTGAAAAACCAAAACCAAACAGCAACAAACAAAAGCAATACAAAAAAAAAAAAAAAAAAAAAAAAAAAAAAAAAAAAGAAATGTCTTGGTGTCTCAGAGCAAGTCCTCTACTTATATCACACTCTCCTTTCAAGATTTCTTTTATTGTTCTAAAAGGTGACATTTGGTAGTTTCTTTTCCTACGGTAACGTAACTCAAGTTGACTTGTTCACTAACGCGCATTTTAAAGGTACTTTGAGTAAAAGACATGCTTTCTTCCAGAAAATCTGTTGCTCTTTTGTCCTGTGCTCCTCCTGCTACCATGTTCTTCATTCCAGTCACCAAATTAAGGCACAGACGTTGCCTAGCACATAGCTCTCGGACTCTCCTGCAGGCGTGGCAGGGAAGGAACCTTGCTGGGCACAATGAGGAGTGTCCCAGCGCCTTGTGGGTGGCTTCACTGGACATACTGTTCAGAGAAGCACGGGACGCTAGGTGGATGATGGTTTATGTACTGACAGGTCTCCAAGCGTGATACAAATCATGATGTCTGAGGGAAACAGGCAAGAAAACATTCCTTAGTAAAAACTAGACACTGTTAAAGCTAATGTCTCCTTTCTTCCTTGATAAGAAAATGACTTAGATCGCCTACATTTGGCAACTTTCTTTCTTTTTCTTGTCTGCTTACTTATCCTGCTAGTAACCAAAGTTTGAATCGTCACTCCTCTGCTTTCCCTACTGGACTTTATTTCAGCAGGAGAGCTAATTCAGGGAGGAGGGTGGCGAGAAGAGAGGCACCTGTTCCAGTTCTTGGTAGGTCCGGAGTCTGAGGTGAAGTTCCTGTTTGGGTTTTATAAGCGATTCTTTGTTCTCCCACTTGACGAACGCCCGCTTCCGGAGCAGCACTGGGCTGGGGCATGGGGATGTGGGGCTGGGAAGCACATACAGACCATCCTGGGCTGGCTTCCGTGGGGAGGACAGCACTAAGTGGCCAGCCGGCATCTCGCCGCCGACCCAAGCGGACGGGTCCGTCTGGGTGGTCTTGTGGGCAACAGTCCTCTTCAGCCGCACTGAGATCTTCTGGGAGGACACCCCCAGGAGCATGATGGTCCGGTCCTTGCTGTCTTCGCTGTGGTCCACAGCCTCCCCATTCTGAAATATAAACGCTCCTTCCTCGGGTGCTGTGGGGAGACATGTTTGTTAGTGCTCTCAGATATAGTTCAGTTCTCAACATCTGTCTCAAACAGACCTTTCTTATTTCAGGAGTCCCGCTTCCAAGCACCCTCTGTTTTCAGACATGCAATGTCAGGCACAGTAGGAGCCGAAAACCAGAGATTTTTGTGTCAGGATTCATCTACACTAAGGAAAGAACATCTTTCCTTTTTTACCTCTTTAAAAGATTTTTTTTGTGTGTATGATGTTCTGCCTGTATCATGTATGTGTGTATGTATGTATATATGTACACCACATGCATGCAGTGTCTGTGGAGGTCAGAAGAGGGTTTTGGATACCCTAAAACTGGAGTTAGAGGTGGTTGTGAGATACTATGTGGATGCTGGGAGCTAAATTCAGGTTTCTTCAAGAGCAACAAGTGCTCTTAACCTCTGAGCCATCCCTCCAGCTCCTCAAACATCTTTTCTGTTTGCACAAAAGTTACCCAGATAGCCACTGTTTCTGTGAGTTAGAATCCCTGCCTCAATGTAGCAAGGTTTCCTAGCGCTTCTAAAGATGGTGGGATAAACATATGGACAGAATGTTCCATTGTGTGGGAGGTCCTTCTGTCTATGTGTTGCTTTTATTGGTTAATGAATAAAAAAAACTGCCTTGGCCTGTTGATAGGGCAGAACTTAGGTAGGTGGGGAAAATTGGTCCGAATGCTGGGAGAAGGAAGGCAGAGAGAGAGAGAGATGCCATGGAGCTGTAGCCAGAGTCAGACATGCTGAAACTTTGCCGGTAAGCCACTGCCACGTGATGATACACAGATTAGTGGAGACGGGTTAAATTAAGATGTTAGCCAATAAGAAGTTAGAGCTAATGTGATTTAGTTAATACAGTTTTTGTGTGATTATTTTGGGGCTGAGCAGCTGGGAATGACCAAGTGGCCCTTCCTCCAACATTCCATAAATGCTTTCTGTGGACTCAGGGTGAGAGCTATGGCTCAGAGTTTGATCCAGGTACGGGACTGCTGCTCAAGACAGTAGGAACTCCCTGTGGAACTCACTTGTGCATTGGCACAGATTAATGGTGAGGTGGCAGGATTAGTTTTGTGGAGTATATTCTAAAATTTATTACCCTTATTTGATTGTGCAGGGGTAAGGACAAACCAGCCATCTGGTTTTCTTTTAGCCAATATCCCTGCCTGAGACACAGCCTGGAAATATTAACTAAAGGAGGAATTTCCCAAAGAAGTAGAGTAAGATTAGTGGATCTATTTGAGTCATGTGGGAAGATAAACTGGAGGTCATCCAAGTTTACCTTTTGTAAAGACTCAGCGCAAATTTTGAACTCTTTGCAAAGTAATTAGGGTCTATATCTCATTTATTAATAAACACATTTTGGATTCTGTTTATTTCATTAAATAGAGTTGGAATATATCTTATTTTCCAGAGTGTAGGGAATAAAGTGATTTTATGTATGAGAAAGGTTTTTTGTTGTTTCGTTGGTGATACATGTGTATTAAAATGATACATTGGCCGGGTGGTGGTGGCGCACGCCTTTAATCCCAGCACTTGAGAGGCAGAGGCAGGCAGATCTCTGTGAGTTCGAGACCATCCTGGTCTACAAGAGCAAGTTCCAGGACAGGCTCCAAAACCACAGAGAAACCTTGTCTCGAATCCCCCCCCCAAATAAAATAAAATAAAATGATACATTTTTCTCATTGCTAAATTTAAAAAGGGATTCTTTTGTGCCTGTCTTATGCCTGGGGCTAGAAGAAGGCATAGATGTCGTCTATCACTTCCCATCCAGTCCCATATTCTTTACCCTTTCTCTTTCACATGACAGCATCCATCCTATACAGTGCAGGACCTTCAGCAAATATGACCCAAATATACTGAGTTACTCCACAGGACCTAAGCTGGCTCACACGGCTGCTTCCTGATGACCAGTTCAGTGGGTATCTTTCAAATCCCTACTAGACACGTCCTTTCTGCTCCTGTGCCCTCCAGACCTAGGGAGTCTCTGATGTACTTGCTTCAGGTAGTTTCCTAACCACTCTTTGCTTGCATTTTACCATATGCAGGGTCAGTGGTGACAATTCTGGCTTAGCCCCTGATTCCTCTCGGTTGTTTTTGGTTCCTCTCCAAGCATATCTCTAGAGTTCCTCTCCCCCCCCCCCCCGCTTTTTTTTTGTATTTACTTTTCTGATTTTAGAATTTTAATCGTTTTTCTTCACCTGATCTCTCAAGGTTCTCAGTCTCGGACCGGGTGTTAATTTAATGGGCGAGGTTCCTCTTAGGGATGATGCGTATTGAACCCATGCATAAGCCTACTTCCTGCCGCCGGCCCTAAGGGCCAGTCACATGGTTTTCTGAGGCTCCTTTCTGGGTTATTAGCAATGAGTCTAGTTTTGGTCACTTTTCGTGCATAGTGGTCTCTGTTAAACTGCAGAAACCAAATTCTCAGCTGCGTCTGCCTCCTGGAAACAGGGTCTAGAAAACCACGTTTTCAGCGTCTACTAGTGTTGTTTCAGCTTCTGCTGATAGTATGTTCTCAGGACGTTTCTGAGCTATGGAGATAGTAGTCTTTGTTTCTGAGCACAGCTGTCCCTTTTACATAGCATGTTACCTTCACACGGCATGCTATGCATGCTATACGCTCATTCTCTCTGCCTCTGGCTGGGGTTTAAGGATAGAGGAAGAGAATTAACATGGGATGCTATCATGGCAGGAAGTCCATACCTGCCCTTGGTGTCGGTGCCCAGTAGCACCTGATGACTTCTTTGTCTAACTTCCGCTCTCTTATAGCAATCCAGGGAGTTAAAATCCATGACGAATCAGCCATGGCACAGCAATCGAGGTGATCTTTCTTACCCGCCAGACTTGACCCTTTCTGTGCATACCCATGGCAAATGTCCCCGGTTCCTGCTTACCATGGAGCAGATCTTTGGTTCCCAGTGGGCAAAGGTTGGACATCGGCACCACGGAGCTGATGTTCTCCGTGGATACCGCTGGGCTCTTGATTCTCTTCTTGCACTCGAACACGACCAGGTCTTTGCACTGTTTGTGGCAGTTCATCCCGCAGTCTGTGGACAAGACACTCACACTCAGCTCACAAGTCCTCCGCTCACTTTTCCTCGCATCTCTCTCACAACCAAATTCATGCACTGCTTTCTTGTCAAACTCAGCTGGTCTAGCCTCTGGAGCTAGGACACCTGGCGTCCCTAAGGGATCTAGGGAAGATGACCTCCTGATTCTTAACCTCCGTGGCAAACCCCAGAGCTTGTCACCACTGTACCAATGAGTCTCAGAACTAAGCATCATCTCATCAAGAAAAGAGATGCTGACCTGGAAAATTAGGTCCTGAGGTGCTTGAAAAAAGAAAAGCTGACTGGTCCTGTAGTAACCTTACCTAGGGTGATTCCCTTTCCTTGAGCAAGAGCTATCTTTCCAGGCTTCTACAAGGAGCGTGGCCATCTGTATTTCCAGAGCAACTGAGGCAGAGAGAGGGTCTTGTAGAGCAAAACTACCTGACTAATCTCATGGGCATCTCTCTCTTGGCTGGCAACAATTCCTCTTAGGATTCTCTTGTTTGGACACGAGGCTCTGAATGTAGCCAAGAATGTTTGGACTAAATGGATAACTACTATGCATTTAGTCCAAATGAATGTTACCAAGGGGAATTTGTTGGACAAGGGAAGTGATTCCATTTCCCCAAACTGGGACTTACCTTTACAGCGATATCCTTGCTTGATCACTCCCCAGAGCTACAAGGTAAAGAAGACAATATGGCGCAAGTCATTCATCTGCCTGGTTTGAGCCTGTGCCTTGGCATTCATTCTCTGTCTTTGTTCTACTGCCTACCAATGACTAGAGCCTGGTAGCATTGATTCTCTATCTGTCTTCCTTCTACGGCCTATCAATGGGTAGACCCTGCTAGCATTCATTTTCTGTCTATCAATGGGTAGACCCTGGTAGCTGTCTCATGTCCTGGTTCTTGGTCCTGCTACCTATACAAAAGCTCTGTACACCCCAGTGCTCTGCAGGCCAGATGTGGATGAATCCAGGCCAACAGGCTCCTGAGGACTGAGTATGACATCCTGTGTCAGAAACTTGGGTTTGCCGAAAACTATTAGTTGGGTTGGGACAGAGGGCAGGCAGCACTCAGGTAACCTCTGAGATAAGATCACTTTGGGATGATTTCCCCCATGTATGTAATACATTGTGGTCACACTCATTCCTCTGTCCCATCCTCCTTTATCCTTCCCCCTGTCCTACCAACCTTCACTCTTCTCCATAAGTCTCTCTTCCACTGCCATATCTTTCTAGTGTCTGTTCTGTGACACCCTGGGTTTAGCCAGGGCCACCCTGTGGGGTGTGGAGTGCCCACTGGACCGCAGGCAAGTTGTTTCTTTTGAAAGGGGAAGGGAGTGTTTATCTTCTCACATCTGACACAGCATGGAACACTTTTAACAGGCACATTCCAACTCCACATTTCTGTACCATTTATTCCAGAACTTTAATGCACCAGGGAAGAAAAAAAAAAAGCAGGAAGAAATTAGATGCAGGCTAAGTCCATAGAGGATTGTGTTTTCTGGGTGTTCTTTTGGGTTCTGAGCCGGAGTGATTATGTAAGGATTTTGAGACCGTGCGCGTCTTACTTGTTTAAACTGTCCTGCATATACCGCCCAACACACACAGACACACACACACACACACACACACACACACACACACACACACACCACGTTCAGCTCTGACACTCTAAGAGTGACTTACAAAGCCAGCACAGTTGTCACAGAAAGTAGGCTTCAGGTAGGTGGTCTCTTGAAAGTTGTGAGGAAAGCCCAGGCCCAGCTTGGAATAGATGGAGCTGGCCCTCATGAAGTAGGCTGTGATCTCATCCCTGCTGATGAGGCCTTCCCTGCAGCGAATGACAGGCAAGGCGTTGAGTATGGGAAGGAAGGTTTCCAGCCTTTGGACCTAGCCTTCCCTTCTGTCCTTCCCGTGGCTGCTTCCTTGAGTTCTCCTCATCGTTAGGGTGCAGGATAGCATGGGCTGGGAGTGAGGCAGTTGACTGCTTATCACTGGTGGTAAATGGCCACACGGATCCGAGTACTCAGGACTGAAGGGGAAGCTGTGCAATGTTAATGTGTGTATAGGCAAGCAAAGGCCTCCTGCTCCCGTGTCTGACTTGAGACAGAAAGCCATGTGTAGAACCCACGGCCAAGAGTTTGTTTTTCTGTGGAGAACTGGGATAAAGCTTTTAGAGCCACAAGAAAAACACAGGAAATATTGATAGAACTATGAGTTCTTCCATGGTTTGTAACGCCAAAGCAGGAAGGAAGGCCCAGTGTTTCTCCTAAGCTGGTGGCACTGGGAGTCTTTGGGAGTCTTTTCAGAAAGCTTATGGATTATCACGGGCTGCAGCAGCCCAGGGTACAGGCGTGAGGTCTTCACTTGATGGCGGCATTTGCTTCCAGGATATACCATCTAAGCCTGGCAGCACACATGTTTGCAAGTTGCTCAGCGACTGCTTCCACAGTCCCATGCATCACCCTCACCTGTCTTTGTCCATCACGCAGAAGGAAAATGGAAAGCTTGCGGCAATCTTTTCAAACTCCTCCTGCGAGATGTAGCCATCCTGGTCGAGATCGTAGTTCTTGAAGACAGACTGAAAAAAAAAAAAAAAAGATTTCTTCCCTTTACTGAAGGAAAGCAATCACCTATCCCTGTAGCTAAATGACAAGGGGGCGGATACATAAGAGCTCGGCAGCAGCCTAAGTAAGAGCAGCGCTGAGCTGTGACCCCTCAACTGTGGCACTGGCGCAGCAGGGCACATCCTGGGCCTCTGCTCTCCCAGCCGCTACAGGGTGCCTAGGTGCTCTCAACCTGTAAATATCAACTGTGCCACGCCCTGGCTGCTGCACACAGCTACTCCATGGGGTAGAGGATGGGCGTTCTCCCTCCACTCTGCCCTCCCTGCAGGTCTCTCTTTCCTTCCCAATTGGAAGTGTTCTCGAGTCCTGTGCTCCTCGTTGTTCTGCATGTGTGACTGGAGTGGGAAGACAGCATGCAGTCCATCCCCTTCCTTAGCAGCTAGCCAGACCAAGCGGTGCCAAGTTTCCCATCCTCCTTCTTAGCATTATTATATGCTGACATTGGCCACATATTAACCAGTAACTTTTAATCATATGTTCCCCTGCAAGGGCCTTTTAAGCATGGCAAACCCGCCCACTGGAGACCAGTGTGTTGACATTATTTCCTCTGAAATGTCCTACAGCCACCGTGTGTGGAGTGAGCAGCTTTGTGTTCCCAAGGGAACAGGTTTGAGCATCCTCACCTCCATGTCTCTATCTCCCTGGCCCCTTCTCTTCCCCACATCCTAAAATTAAAGCAGGCTATACTGTGATTTTTGTCTGCTGAAATGGGTACTTACATCCACCATCCTCTGGACATGTTTGCTGATGGTCTTTGGGTCTGGTTTGGGAGACACTCCAGAGGCCCAGTCCACTACAACTGGCGGCTTCGAAGGAGTCAGTGGCTAAAATGGAATAGGGAAACCCTTGTGACTGACACAGGTTAACAGGGCTCCTTCCTTTCGCGACATCTGACTGTGTGCCGTGGCAGAAGAAAGAGCACACAGTCGGAATCTGTCTGGATTAGCTTGGCCAATAGGTTTCTAAAGAGCGCCTACGGGACCCCCAGCTGCAGACAATTTCGCTCCTCAGTGGGCCTGACTTCCAGGCTCCTCTCCATTGGCTCTTTTCTCAGATGTATCAACAAAGGTTAACATGAATCATGCCCTTTGCCCCTGTGCTCCAGTCCCATTTTAGTAGAGACGGATGAGGAAAAGCTAATCAAGACAGCAAGATGTACAAGGAAGAAATGCACTCTGCATATGCTGAGAGAGAATCTGTTGTAGATAATTTGAACCTTGGCCCCAATTAAAATTCCCCTGAAAATAGAAGTTGCTGATCCTTCTTCTGAAACACCTCTAGTGCCCTGGGTATGGATCCTCCTGACCATTCTATAGAGGCAATGGGATTTAGCAACCCAAAACAAATAACAACAACAACAACAAAAATGGATTTCTTGTGGGTAGGCAACTCTCTTCCCTCAAGTCCTTCTCGCTTGGGGAGTTAGGAAGCCTTCTAGGAGATGGAAAGAATTCTGCTGCTTACTTGTCAGTAAGAGAGGCAGGCTCAGGTAACCTGTAATGGTCCTACTGTGTGCAAAACCAGGACTTGGTGCTGTTTTGAGTCCTACTGGGCACAGGAGTTCAGAAGATCTAGTACCTTCCAAACCCAGAACGCCACAGGCCACTGACATTTTTCTTTCTACCATGGCAGGAAGTTTTATGAATTTTGCTTTTTAGTGTGAGTGTTGCTGTTATCACCCCGTTTTAGAAACGAGACATGGGGACCCTTTGACAGGAGGGAGACAGCACCGTGCTTCGTAACACTGCCTCTGACAGATTTGACCCCACCCCCATTGGGCACACGTCATTTCCTGTTCACACAGGGGTCCCTTGGTCTCAACAAAAAGCTGCTGATGGATAAGAACTATGTGTTACGTGTATGTTGAGAAGCCTTGCCCAAAGCTGAGCACACAGCACAAACCATACACTTAGTAAGCAACCGAAGCCCAGCTTCTTGAGAAGGAATTTACACTCAGCATCAGGATGAGAAACTTACCGGGGCTCTGTGGTTCCTTGGTTCGCGGGCATAGGAGAGCTCATAGATTTCATCTTCTGTGTAGTACAGATCCAGGGATAACTGCAGTTGAAGCAGAATATGGTTCATTTCCAGAACACTACCTTTCCTAGAGCTGAGGTCTTATTCTTGGCTACATCTTCCCAGTGGTTTGTTTTCTTTTCCATTTTTTTTAGGTTTATTTATTATATATACAGTGTTCTGTCTGCATGCCTGTAGACATGTTCTGTTTGCCTGCAGGCCAGAAGAGGGCGTCATATCTTACTACAAGTAGTTGTAAGCCACCACGTGATTGCTGGGAATTGAACTCAGGACCTCTGGAAGAGCAGCCAGTGCTCTTAACCGCTGAGCCATCTCTCCAGCCCATTTTCTTAGTGCTTAGCAGGGATTTTGTTTGTTTTTAGATGTATTCATTTTCTTGTATGTTTGAGCACTATGTCTGCATGCAAGTATGTGTGCATGGTGTGCTTATGCCTACAGAGGTCAGAAGAAGGCATTAGTTTCCCTAGAGCTGGAGTTACTGATGGTTGGGAATCACCATGTGGATGCTGGGAACCGAACCCTGGTCATCTGTAAGTGCAGCAAGTATTCTTAACCACGAGTCATCTCTCCAGACTCAGCAGTTTGGAAAACACTAAGTTGGGGCCAGTAAGATGCCTTTGCAGGTAAAATCACTTGCTGTGGAAGCTTGGAGACCTAAGCTTAGTTTCTGGAACCACGATAAAGCTGGAAGAAGAGAAACGACTTCACAAAGTTGTCTTCTAACATCCATACCCACACCATGGCATGTGAGCACATGTGTGTGTGTGTGTGTGCATGTGCATGTGTGCATGTGTGTGAGTGCACGTGTGAGCCATTGCTCCATCTTGTGCACAGACAAACACGTATACATACAAACAAATATAAAATGAAAATCCTGCTACTTTGATAGGGAAAACTTTAATTCGTTCCTGTTAGAATGTTCTTAAATACTGACCAAGTTCTAAGGTGTTCTCTTTATTTGTGATTTATTATCTATGCATCTCTAAAGACTTGATGTTGGTGTGTTGGTGTGCGAGACTCGCCAAAGTCACTTGTTTAAAGAAAGAGGGTTTCAACCCCCAAACTGCACCCAAGCTGGGGGTGAAGCCTTGGCTCCATCACCATGCTCTGTGAGGCAGGAAGAGACCCTGGCCACCATTCCTCCCACTGGGGACAGAGAAGCCAGGTTTCAACTTGTGTAATTTTAGAACAGGAGGTTTGGATCACCCCAAGACTGGCCCCTTAGAGTTCAGAGAGGAGGGAGCAGATTGGAGAGCATAGGCCCACATCCGTGCAGCTAGCGCTCTGAAGCATCACAAGTTTGGAAGTGCAGCAGATGTCACCCGCACCCACTGCAAAGCTGATCTCCACTCCCCACACCCACCCTTGGCTGGGATGTGTCCAGGCACAGAGATCTAAGCTGAAACTAGCTGGTTTTGTTGCTTTGTTTGTTTTTTACCCCTGCCTTATTGTATTTAGTGAGAACAAGCTGTCTCCACTAGTGACCAAGGTTTGCGTCTGATTTGCTATCAGCTCCACCTTGAAAGCTTAGGGACAGCTTTTTGCAAGAGTAGGAGCACACCCCTAGAAGTCTACAAGGCACAGTGCTTAAAAGAAAAGCCTCCTGGGTCCCACTCTCCAGCTCGATTCTAAGTTGAGGCCTCTATTGCTTAACAATGTCAGCTCCTCTGCGAAGCTGAACTTTGTGTCTCCGTATCCCATTCCTAAAGAGGAGCTGGCAGTGTATGGGAAAGGAAGTCGAATGGACCCGGCACATAGCTAGTACGTAGTAATTATTCTCCCATGGGGATCTCACCGTTAGCAGGTGCACCAGGTCCTTGTTGGCATCCAGTGGTGGGGCTACCTCCTGCAGCTGGACCAGTTCATTGATATGATTGTAAAGGGCCAGGAGCTTTTGGACGTTCACCTTCCCGTCCTCCAGATAGTCGGGCATGGCTTCATACAGGGAAATGAGGTCCTTGAGGTGCACCCCCAGGATGGGGATTTTGAAGTGGGTGCACTCCCCATAGGCTCGCCTGTAGTTGTCATAGTTTCTGCAGGAGGACAGCAGTTCAGTCATCTCACCCAGAACCTACAAAGCAGAGCAGACTGGTCACAGATGCCTGTGAGGCCGAGTATGCCACCTTGCTTACGCGCATGTCCGCCGTGATTTTACCCCATCCTGCATTCATTGAACCATGCATGACGCATCTCATTTGTAGCTATTACAACTCTCAAATTAAAACTCCAGCCACGTCAAATGTCAGAGCATAGTCATAACCGAAGTATGTGTTCCTCGATTTTATCATTTTATATCAAAACGATTTATTCTTAGAACTAATATAAGCTCTTGACACAACAATTAGAGGTGCAGGAGGACACACGGTAAATAAGTGTCTTCGGAACCCCAAACTCTAAGTTGCCTTCCCTGCTGTCCTTGGAAGCCTCCAGAAGCATCATGTTGAATCGTGTCCAGCTTGTGAGGTCAGCAGGCATAGCCTTAGCTGCTGGCCTGGGAAGCTGTGTTTTATTTGGGGAGGGCAGGTTACTATTCTGTGGCTCAAGATTCTCAAAATGGGCCCATGCCTAAAGGGAGCAGCCAGAGTGTCTTCTCAAACACATGTAATAACCATATTAGACTCTATGCCAAATTCTCTTTAACAAGAGCCATGTCTATATAGTGAGGGAGTAGAGGCTTGGACTGTGCCCACTCAGTCATCCCGAGACAGCAAGAGATTCCCCCGTCATCCCTTTGTCAAATACTGCGGGCAAGTGTGAGCTATGTGAACCCATGAGATGAGATGAACAGCGGGATGTAAGATATATTAATTTTTGTTAGTGTTTCCATGGTTTCTGATACCTAAGCGATCTTTTCAGTAACAGTTCAGTAGAACTGTTGGGAATGAAAAGGTGACTGAAGACATTTCTGGGTACCCAGCCATAGGGAAGGGGCCTCTCATGGGTCCAGCATGGCGAAGGGAGGGGCTAATTAAAAGGGACTCCTTGTAAGGAGGATGAATACACGGGATAAATGGACAGGGATATCGAGACTCAGGAATCTTTCCCTATAAAGAATCCCCTCTTCCAGGTTAGGATGTTTATGATTTGTGGATAGCAAAGTCCCGAGACACGAGATGACAGCGCTCAAACAGCCATCATTACCTAGCCCGTGCCATGCATGGCTCACCACATCACGGTGGGCGGTACGTACACCAGCAACCCTCTGCCATGGAGATTAAGGATATCCTGTGACATCTAACTAAGAATGCGGGACAGTCCATGAGACACTTCGGGAAAACCATTGTGAGTAAGCCATGTCATAAAACAGTAGCAAGTGACCAGGGGATGCAGCTCGGTGACCAGGCCCTTCTCAACAATACCATATCTAAAGAGTACATTTCCAGCTCTGGAAATTCAAGGATCCAGAAAATCTGCAAGTGTGCTGAGTGAGCTAGGGCTCCAGGCTTCCACTGCATAAATACATCTGACACACACTATGAGCAACTGAGCTTCTATTTGTTGGGGTGAAACATTCCGAAGTGAGGAGAGACTAGGAGAGTATTGAACATTTGATGCCTTGTAGGCACAGGGAAGAGGCACACGTTATTTCTTCTAAGTGGTCTGGCAGAGAGAGGGACAGTGACACTGCGGCTGGGAAGAATCTCACACACTCTCAGGTCTGTGACTCATGCATCCTGACTTCCTTAGGGTTTGCCTGCCTGTCCCTAGCTGGGTTGAGCAGGGGTATGTAGTCTTCGGGGCCCCGGAACACACAGGTCACTGACCTTATTGATCTCATGCGGGACATGTGAACTTGTCTCCTTGAGCCTGGAGATGGAGCTGTGGCACAGCCCCCCGATCACAGCCATCAGCGTGTTGAAGTTCTGCAGCTGGTGGAGCTTCTGTGACACAGGACACATGACAACAGAGTCACTGTACATGTCATCACACGGGGGGGGGGTAGAGGCGACATCTCTGTGCTGCACATTTTCCGTATAATGTTAGACTAACAGCCAGGGGCTTCAGTTTTCTCCCTTTTTATTGACCTCTAGACCAGATCCGAGATCAGCAGGGAGGCCACGTGCCTCTCTTTCGTGGTATCTGATCTGTGAACTATCATCTAAATCGTTGGTGTCTAAGGATCATTGAGTACATACTTAAGATGTCTGGAGCCAACCCCATACCTTCTGGCTCCCCAGACTGGGGATAGGCTTAGAAAGTATGTCACATCTGTCTTTAATAAATATCAGAGCAGGTGGGCCACTTCCAAACTTGGGGAAATACTGGTGCAGGCCATTCTGGGTTGGAAAATGTAACAGGCACAACCGTATTGCCTTTATCCTATTGCCAGGCTTATTGTTGAGGATCTTATGTGTGATCTTATGCCAGTGAAGGATAAAATAGCTGGGGAAGAGAAGTTAGGATCTCTTCCCCTCAAACATCGACCATTCTATTCACAGAGCCTCAACTCAAGAACCTAAGACAACTCAGGCTGGCCTGGCTCTGCCCATCTGCTGGCCATATGGCTAGTTATGAGAAGCTCATGTGTCTCCTGAAAAAGCATTGCAGTGCTGAGTCTTGATCTTGACGTGGTCCACATGGCCTTCCACTTTGCTCTTGGGTGAGAACGAAGAAGAGCTGCATGTCTAGACCAGGAGACAACAGAAGATGCACACGCCTCATTGTGGGTCAGAGGGGACACAACTCTGACACGCTGGACTCCAGGTAAAAGGAAGAAGTCAGTTACCCCAGGCCTAGGATCTCAGTCCAGCCACTTACCTGAGCCACGTGGATGAACTTGATGAAGACCTCTGCGCGCAGCTGTGGGGTGGGACGGCTGAGCACCATCAGCTGTACCCACTGGGAGATGCCATTGCACAGGGCGATGGACCGCTCCATGGTGGGGTTCTCCTTCACGCAGCTATTTACGAGGTAATTTTGATAATCAGAGAACTGGAGGGAAAAAAAGACAACTATCAGGTATTCTTGGAGTTCTGAGGGGCACATCAGCTCTGCTCGGTGGTGGCTGGGAACCAGTATGGGCGAACAAGTCTGTGGCTACCACCCTGGCATCTTTGCTACCAGGTCACAAAGAACGATGGATGGGAGGTCACATTGGGATCTCTCTGTATGACGTCCATTAGGCACACAAGGATGGATACAAGTAATTAACCCAAACGACATACTTGAGAAGATGGTTTTCTCCCTCCTGAACAGAGCACAGCACAGTAGCAAATGTTTATCAGTTCTAGCTGTGAATCTCCAGTTGGAGAACACAATTCTCCTTCTAGAACCTTCTCTTTCCATCTGCTGTCTACAAAAGCTGTGATCATAAAACCTCCCTGCTTAGGACACGAGCCTGCTATAAACACCGAGACAACCCATGGTATAGAAGCACAGTTCCACACAAACATGTAGTAGTGCTAACAGGAAGATCATGCTAACACTAGCCTGTCTGAACTACCCTGAGCAGGGGCCCAGGTACCTGAAACACAGCTAAATAGATACACAGTGACCTTGTTTTCCCAACCTGTCAGTAGCGTTAGCTATGGACAAGAATGGGACTGCAAGTGTCCCATTGATATCAAAGGGACTGTGTGGTCTAAGTGATGATTGTAGCTGACATGTCTCTGTTACAAGAATCTCTCAGCTTCAGCAGTGAAGAAGAACCCAGTCTCCCGGGATACTGCTATGGGAGGCTGTGGTGATGTGCTTGGAAAGCCGGGGTGGGCAGGTCAGATAGCTAGTAGAATGTGAGCGAAGCATCAGGACCAATCCAAGCGCCAGCGCATGCCGGGCTGTGCTACTTTTCTAGTGCTCCAGAGATGATGGGAATTCCAACCGGAGGAAGACTGGCCACTCCCACTACTCACACCTGTTAGACTTGTGGTGTGGTGGAAAACCAACTTTCGAGACTACACACACACACACACAGACACACACACACACACACACACACACACAGAGAGAGAGAGAGAGAGAGAGAGAGAGAGAGAGAGAGAGAGAGAGAGAGCACATGAATGTCTGTTTTGCCTAAATAAAACAGATGCCCATTAACCGATCTCCATCCATGGTGCTGCTATTGCTGGCAGGTGGACATATCCCAGTGGGACAAAAGCGCTCTTTAGAAGAGCGGTGAGGGCTGCCACAGCAAGCAAAGATCTTCCTGGCTCTAAGAGGAAGTGTTCACCCTCATTACGACGAATGCACTATGTCCCTTCTCACTCGAAATAAGTTCAATCCATTTGTCTCTTTAAAGAGAGAGAATTATCCACGAGATAAAGTTTTCCCATAAAGGGCTAAAAAAAAATCACAGCGGAGCTACATTTCCCCAATGTTGGAGGGAAAGTTACTATTTGTAACTGCATAGGAAAAATAAAAGCAAACAAGAACCCACTGAAAAAGCCTTCTATGAAGGGGCCGTGGCACTCAAAGGAGAGAAGGCTTTTATCTGTAAACAGAACACTGTTCCACCCAGAGAGGCTGGCTCTGATTCCTTCTCCTCCCTGCCACTTCTGCCTCCCCACAGCTGAGCACCGGCATCAAGCAGACATCACGCAGGCCCAGGACGGCTCTGCCAGTTTCTCCGGCACAGCTCTGATTTCCAATGTGATAACGTTCCCTTTTCAAAGGCTTTCAGCTCTGTCTAGCCTTGGGACCCGGGAGGTGGGTTAACTGGAAAATTCCCAGCCTCACAATGGGGGCCCAGTGCTTTATCTGGGGGGTGCCCAGGAGGAAACTAGGTAGTTGGCACTGGGGAGCCTTTGGATCCAGCACCAAGGGGAAGCTCTTGGGTCTCTGGTTGGGCGATGGCAGTCAGGGTGTTATGGGAGAAGCTATGACATAATCTCTGCCATCTGGGCTCAGGAAGTTGGGGCTGAGTGACTGGGAGACCTGAGCCTCCACTGGAATAAGCTGTGTGGCCCTTGCTCAAGTCAATCCCGTGACCCTCCACCCTCCACCTGGGGAACACAGGTCATTCTAAGGCAGCAGCAAAGTACTGACTAGCGTCAGAGCGAAAACTGAAGACGGTCCCTGGGGGAGGGAGGGGCGCCTGAGTGGAATAAGTGTGTCACGTTTCAGAAAAGCACATTGGCCAGGGACAGCAGGTTGCAGCTAACACAGTGACAAGCTCTCTTGTGTGGAACAGTGTCTCGGGTGTCCTGTGGAGTTAGTTGTGAGGACCGTAGTGAGAACAGGATGTGCCGGGACGGTTGCTGATGGTTAAGTAAAGCCCCCTCTCTCCCTTCAGCTCTCTCTTCCTTTGCTCTGCTTGGCTATACCAGCAGCATGAGTTAGGTAAGCAGTTTGCTTCCAGAAGTATGGTAATGCCGGCCATGCCGGCACCGTTTCAGGAATTTAAGTATGTTTTAGAAAGACTGGCCATATTTGTTTTATTTTTAGGACTTCCCAGA